CCTCCTCCATATTTTATTATTTATAGTTATGGCTCTTTTAATATATTTCATTATTCTTATCAATAAAACAGGTTTTCATCATTGTAATTCAATCTATTCATTTGTTGATTTACTTTTATTTCGAAATATACATTCCTTTGTCATTTTGTTCACAACTTTTCTTTTCTTTTTTTTTTTTGTATTAATTAAATGACTATATTCCAATGGAATTATCATAAACCCAATTAGTATAGCCCTTCAGGAGACACATTCCTCATCACACGAGAACGTTCCTATCCCCTGATCATAGTTCCTTGAGTGTTTTAATTGCCGTTCATAAATCCGTCTATTCTGAACAAATCACAATTAACTCCCACCTTCAAATTGTAGCAGTCACTATACACCTTTCACATTTATTGTATGCAATATTTACCACACACATGATCGATCATTAGAGTCTCAACATTTACTAGATCTATGTAACCATCCAGTTTTTTGGGTTTTTTTTATTGGCGACCTTAATGGTCATAATTCTTTATGGAGCTCCCGAGATACTAACTTACGAGATTGAACAATAGAAACTTTCATTGATATCTCAGGTTTACTCCATATTAACGCTGGAGAACCCACTTTTCTTAGCTCCTGTTATGGAATGTAATTCTGCCATCGATCTCTCTCTTTGCAATTCGAACCTCTATAGCATTGTGGACTGGACCATTCTCCCAGATCTGTATGGCAGTGACCAATTTTCAATCTTAATTTAATTTACTAATTTAAATCATACATGTCGAGTTAAATCTAAATGGATATTTTTTTTAATATGTTCTTTATTTACAGATGGCTTAGTGAGCCATACACGGATATATTAACAACAATTAAATAAATGGATATTAGACAAGGCAGATTGGACTAAATTATTTGTACAGATAGACCATCCAACTTATAAATATATTTTCCAATCCAAATTTTCAACGACTTTCCGACAAAAACCAAATTCAAATCTATCTTTGGCAGAAAGATATTCCAAGGTCATTTCAACACTCAAGGAGACTTCATTACTAAAACTGGAAACGCAAAATTTGCCTTGGGCCCTAAAACCACCTAAAACAATATTAAACCCTTCCAATATCCCGAAAAATAATACCAATTTTGAGTATAAAGAGAGATTATTTCGGCTAGAGATTATTTCCAAAAGTCAATAGCTCAAAAGACTATCGTCATGTATTCGGAACATCCAGTTGTTATGAAAATCCAATTATATCTGTCCACACTCTTAGAGTAGGGTTAGTCCGTCTGTTTTATTGGGATTCCAAGCCACATTAGTATTGTAGGTCAACGAGCTCGCCGATCAAGCTGCCAGAGGGGCACTCACGCTAATTAGCCGAGGTACAGCCGTTCTCACCCCATCAGTATTCAGTAGAACTTTCAAAATATAAATATCAGATAGATGGCAGGCCATGTGGGATGAAAGTCCTCCTAGTAAGTTGAAGCATTTGAAAAATGTTGTAAAACTATGGTCTACATCCAACCGCAGCATCCACAGGGAGGAAATCGCTCTGGCCCGCTTGAGGATTGACCACACACTGACATCTTGTTAGAAAACACCCACTTCCATTATGTCAGTATTGTCATTGTATGCTATACGCTAAACACATTTTTAAGAAATGTAATCACTATATCTCAAGTATAAATTGAATAGGATTGACTCCAAATTCGTATATAGAAAATGAAATGAAACTCGGATTGGTATTTGAATATATAAAAACAGCAACTCCTTTCCCAACTATAGCACTTTTACCGAATTATTATTTAAAAACCTACAATTTTTATTTGTTGTTCAATTTCATTCTGTAATTTTTTAAGTTTTAGTCTAATTTTTTTACAAACTTATAGTTCAAATAAACCGTAGGCTTTGATGACCTGGGGGTTTTATGCCTATAAAGAATAGCAAACAAACCAAATACCATGATGGATCAAACCAGATAAATTCGAAAAAAATTGTCATAAGCAGCACAAGAATTTTTTTACATGAAGATGTTGTACTGATAGAGACGACCCACAAATACTTCACCAAAAAAATGTTTTTAGCCATGCACACATTATAAGAAGAAAAACAACATAGAACTGAGGGTTATGCATAGTATAGTTCAATCTTAGAATTGTTCTGAAGAGTCATCCGTACGATTGTGAAAAAATGTCTTGATTATTTATTAATTTGGAAAGTTTAATTATGTTAATATTGGAGTTGTTTCCGATCTTCTAAAAGAAACTTAATGAACTCTTCTTTAAAAGACTCGTTAATTATAAGTTAAGTAAATTTCAGCACTTTTAATTAAACTCGTTAATGAGATCCTTTGGCCTGGTTTGCATTGAACCTTTCACACTATGGATACCTTGTATTATTTGAGAATATTTCTGTTTTTTGTTTTTAGCGATTGTTTCTTGTATCACTAGAGAAGCTTTCAATGACCTTCAATGTTTCAGTATTGCACCCAAAAGTAAGCTGACTTGGTGGGGGAGGGGAGGGTAAGAGAGCGGAGGGGTTGGTCCAAATAATAGTCCAAATTTGTGGTTACAATAATTAATTTTGCCTAATGATAATCTGGTCCAAATATATTCAAATAATATACTATTCAGCAGAAATAAGATTGATGATTTAGTTCTAAAGACGTATTTTTTAAAGCGAATAATTTGGTGAGATATATGGCGTTTAGTTTCTGACTTCAATAATAACACTGTTTTTAACTTGCTGAAGTCAGGGATGTATCCTTTTCCTAATCAATATATTTTTTAAAATATGATAACTCATTAAAAACATTATTTTCGAATTGTTTATTAATTCCAAACAATGTTGGTAACTTTCGTAAGCAGGTCTCAAAAATCAGTTCTCAACAATTATTCGTTATTATTAATGTTTAATATTATGAAATTAATAAGAATAATACAACTCATATTCTGGCGAAATAGTTACATGGCCGCCGAAAACCTATTTCCGTTCTCCAGCAGTTCTTCAGCTTGTTGAGAATTCTTTCCAAAAATCGGAACTTTTTTAAAACGCAGCGGGAGGCGAGACAAATTGTTACAAATCGTGACTGTCCCTTCTTTGCTGAATAAACATTCCATAAACGGAAAAAAAAATTGTAAATAAACAAAAATATTTCAGTAAATATGCTACCTTAGAACTAGATATTGTCGTGAATGTCACGCGTACTATTTAAAGCTTATGTATCTTTTAAATATATTAAGCACTCGATTTTTTTTTTGGTAGGTCAAATCCACGACCATACTCATTTTCAGGAAAATATATACTGAGCAATCTTGAGATTGAAATAAGGTATTTCATTTTTTTTTCGTTTGGCGCTATAGAACACCCTTGTTGATCTTTGGCAGAACAATGTGGTGTTTTTCCAGACGTTTATTGCTTGTGGGATCACAGATGGCCTGGAGATGTCACCCAACCTCATGTGGCTACGGACAATGGTCTCCATGCTGCAGCGACAGCTAAATTGGCTCCATTGCCGATTCCTTTGGAGCCAATCTGGCAATGCTCTTGCCATCGAATCGGGTTCAAGAGCAGGGGCAAATCGGTTTTGATCCATGGATTAGGGCTTCCCATTGTCAGCAGGCGCACGAAAACCAATGTTTCTTTCTTTAAAACGGATCGTAAACAAAACAAAACGCATTCCAAATTAAATTCATTCACTATATTAATATTCAGATCGATATCACTGATCATTGGCGTTAATAGTTCAAAACAACCCCTCTTTCCTCTCAATCTAATTAAATGAGCCCATAATTCTGGCTACTTCTTCTCTATCTTCCACACTCTACCCATTCATAGTACCTCAAGAATAATGTTAATTAAACATTAAAACACTTATGAGTTCAGGTATTTAACAAAATATTTTAATCTAACTATGTTTAAATCATTAAGATTTGCTTACAATGCCAAATGAATTATTTGGCAGAAATACGATCAAAAAAGTTGCATAAAGCATAACATCTTTGTCTTAGGACTGAAAAAACAAAATGCTCACATATCAAAAATTATTCACTTCTTTTTTGTTCTCCTGAAAATTTTTAGTTTTGTTTTTACAGGCTTTCGCAGTGTGTCTGTCGATATGATAGAAATTTTGTTTTAGTTTTTTATGTCTAGTACAATCCTTCACGGATTAGGTGTACCTAAGCAGTTTCAAAGCTCTCTTTGTATGTAGAGCCCCGTAGCTGGACTTATGTAGTTTAGATATATAGATATATTGATGGAATACGGAGTTAACATCACTTACCGGCAATAAAGTTATTTGAAAGACCAGGTAACTTGGACTCAGTAGCGGATACAGGATTTAATTTTGGGGCTTGGTAATTTTTATTGCCGTTGATTACTTTGGTATAAAAATAAAAAACTACATAAAATAATGTTTAAGTAATCCTTAGAGGGCTGAAAAAAAACATATCTTTTTACTGGAACGATAATGTTTTTAGTGATAAATTGTTTGTATTTTTTCTTGAAACGTGATTCTATTTTGTATATATATTATAATTTAAAACGAGAATATTTTGTGATTGTTTAAATATTTAGTTTATCACTTACATAAACAAATCTGTACAAAAAAAAAAAAAAAAAAATGATTTTTCCATTTTGGGAACTTTAGCCCGAAATGCTTCTCCCCATTCATCTACAAGTACCTACCGTCAATAAACTTATTTGAAAATAGGCTTTGACTTCGTGCTACTCAAGATGTGTAGAATATTGATGAGACCTCCTGCTAAATTCAATACAAATATCTCCCTGCTGGAATTTAATTATTTAAGTAGGGTGGTAAATGGAAGTTATGCGATGCACGCCGCACTACATTTTTCCGTTTTGATTTATTTAAATTTGTGGAAAATGAATTATCACTGAGAGTATCATGATGAGATACCATTATGACGCCGCTCTTTGATGCTGCTTGGCGAGTGTGTGACGACCCTTGGGAAGAAGAGGGTTGATCTCGGGGAGGCCATCGACTCCTTCGGAAAGGCTCGCCCCCACCAGCTGCCCTTGAGCTGCGCGGTATAAAACATATCTTCGCCCAGGGGAGGGGAACAGTCCGCTGAGGAGTTAGACGTTCAAGAACAACTGTCATAGCTCATGGAACAGCACGCCGTAACGATGGCTTCAACCTTCAAGGTAGGATGTCCATGGGGTACAATGTATTTTACCCTCACTTACGTTTACTTCTAGTGAAGAAGCTGCCTTTTATAATGGACCAATTTATTAAAACGATTTTATAAATTCATAATCCAAGCAATATTTATATTGCTTAAGTTCTTCCAATCTCTGATCTTCCGGTCTTAAGCATACATGCGTATATTCAAAGAAGAGGATATAATCTTTGAATTATGGGAACTGTAAATTTAATTGAAAATGATTTAATATTCGAGTTTCAGTATAACAGACACACATACAAAATAAATACGATTTTTTAAATTATTTTAGAACATTTTAGTAGTATAGAATAATCAGTTGACCAAATTAAAAAAGTATAAGCAAATAAAAACTGGGGCACACCTACTCTCTATAAAGTGGTTATCTTTAATTAAATAGTTAATTCAGGGGGAAAACTTGGTGATTGAGCGTGATCTCGGCCAAATAACCTCCTTACACAACCGTTCACCAAGAACGGTTGTACCTTGCCCAAATAGTACCGAACACCTAAGACTCTGTGGCACAGTTAGTTATTTGTTTATTTTTTAATTCTAATGCTAAAATACTCTTCAAATCTCAAAAACAAGGAAAAGTATACAATATTAGATTTCCAGAGGCTTTTACTTAGCTTTGCAATCTATTTCCTTTTCAGTTTTCAGACATTGGATGAGTCATTTCTATTTAGTCTTTTATGGTATTTTTTGAAGATGCATAATGTATCTATCTTACGAAATATTGAATAAAATATATACTACTGGTTAATACACGTATGTTGAAAATTCTGCCATAGAAATATTTCTTTCTTTACAGTCAAATAAGAAATATTCGAATTATAAATGGCATCTTTTGAAAACATTAATTTTGTATTTTAATAGGTAGTTAAGATCTATCAGATCCACTTCTATGAGAATAATGCCTTTCAGACATCAAAGACTCTTTCATTGTTCATTGATATAAAGTGTTTAATCAAATTCCTTAAGAGCCGTTTTCGAAATAATCATAAAACATGTAAAAATGGTTAGCTAAAGTTTTAATAGTGGCAGCCGATCTTAATGAAAAAGTTTTAACATCCATAAATATGTAATTTCAGTTTCGTACGATTTTTCGTTTTTTAACTTAATACACTCACATAGTTTGATACTTAGTTTTTGATCGAGAAACACTTTTGCGATACTCGGTTATTCAGACACTGAAAATTTGCAATAGAAATTTTTCATGAACGCAGAACTTTCTTTTTCATAGATAAGTGAAATTAAAAAAATAGAATTTACATGACATAATTTTAAAGATCTATTTGTGCTTAAATTTAGCTTATTGAATTTATTTCTTTGTGGATAATACATTAAACTTTATTATTTACATGATTAATATTTTTTTAATTATATTTTATGTCAGCAATTGTTTTTATTGAATTTATTATTTTTCATTTTGCTATTTTGTGTTGGTATAATTTTTTTTTTTTTTATCTGCTCACCTTTCTTGCCTTTTAGGCTACACGGGTTTTTTTCCCGGACTGGGTGAGAGGGCGGGGAAATTAGTTAGGGAACGAGTTAAAAGTCCTAACGGCACCAGGATTTGAACTCTTCATTATTAATACACCTCAAACTTCGGTTATCAGGTTAGAGAATCGGAAAGGTAATAGATAACACAGAAAAATCAAATAATAACGACTGTTTTGAACATTCAGACAAAAACATTACAAATGCCATAGAGTATTCAAATACGTATTTATTGTATTATTTAAATAAATCTATAAATTTATTGGTGACCTTAGGACTAAAAACTATTATAATAATAACATAATAAAATGTCACTGAACCTAAAAAATTAAATCTTTAATGTTTGCGCAAATCAAAATTAATAAATATATGAATGTTTGATTATGGACAAATAATCCATAACATTATATGTTCCAGTCGAGATAGAGACATCAATGATAAGCAGGAAAGCCGGTTTGTCGGCAGTGGCTAAAATATAAAATTCAAACATTACCTTAAATTTAAATAATATATAAAAATTAACCTGTAGGAAATATGCATATTTATGATGAAGTTGATTTTTTTTTTTCCAAATTAGTATTACTTTTAATTAAAATTCCCTTTGATACATGGCTTAATTCAAGTCTACAAATGATGAAAAAGCTTTTAATTATTCGTAAAGCTAGTTTCTTTTTGTTTTACTGAACCTATTTCATAAATGAAAAGAAAATTTCAAGTACTAATTGCAGTGAATATCAAAATGTTGTGATACATAACCTCTTTTTCTTAAGTTCGTGCTGTATTAAGATATTTGTTGTTAGTACCCTGTTAATCCTTATTGGTTTGTTAGTTTCTGAATTCCAATATGTGCACTAATCAAGAATTTTTACAGTACAAATAAATTTCTTTTCTTTGTGTTAGGTTTTAATTGTCATTTAGTTTTAATTTTGATGGTAGCGTTAGTGTTGAGACTATTCAAGATTACAAAATTTTTGTATTATATTTATTTACATCCGATTAGTATGGAGAACCAATCATGTGAAGCTCTAAAGTGAGAGGTTTTAGTTAAGTATAACTAGAAAAATCATCAAAAATATGAATGTGAAAATAAAAATAAATAGAAAAAAAAAGGTTGAGAATATTTTGGCAAATCTAATCTTTAAAAAATTAAGCTGCAATATACCACATAACAAATATAAAAGTAAACATTAGTGAATGTTCCAATTAAAAATTATTGGATTTGCGTCATTCTCCATCACATACTACGACATACATGTTAGATATTTTTTACTTATACCCTACCTTACCTAGTTACTATACAGGTTTTGGCGAAAGTAGCGTGATAAATGAAACATTTATCTTACAATCGAAGTTCTTGAAATTGAAGAAGTCTTCTGTCCATTGGAGATTCCTCCACCAGCCGGCCACGCCTTCTACACTAAGGACACCAAGACTAAAGTGTTCAGGTCCAACTGCTATCTTCCAACCGTACACGAACTACTTGAAGTAGGAGTGGGTACCTTTGCTTTCATGGTAAGAACGGAAGATCACTTTCAGTGAGAACTTAGATGCCCGTCTTCCTACTTAGCCTGTTTCATTAAGGGCTAGACAGTTTCAGAAACGGCCCATCTGGGACACAGGAGGTCGATTTCTTGCCCAAAGCTATGCTGTTTGGTCAAAAAGGTTCCCATGCGCTGTGTGGACTGGACGAAATCCAGTAATCCCTCAGGTACTCACTTTACTGCTAATCGGGATTGGACGATCGGAGAAAGTATTTCCATTAACAAAAAGACATATTTAAATATTTATAATTAACAAATTTAAACTTACTCACATCAAAGTTAAAGTTGTTTTCGTGGAAATTATAAAACGTGTCAAATCAATCATATAAAGTGGCACTTCTTGTAATTCAATTTTATCAAAAAACTGACGTAACATCGCAAGGATATAGCTAACTAAAATGAGTAATTTCATTTTCGTTTTGGAGCTGTGCTGCAATTAGTTGTTTGGTCTCACATCAGAGAACTATGGAACATGTATTTTCGTTAAAAACGCGGAATGTTTTAAAATTAAAAAAAAATTGAATATTAAGATCACAACGTTTTCCCTTATATTTAATGAATGGGAATGAAAAAATGAAATAATTTATTTTAAATCTATAATATGAAAAACTTACCTTAATTTTATATTTTAATATTTCTTAACTTATGCGTTTTTGATAATTTTAAATAATCATCAGAGTAATAATAATAATTGATATTTATCACGCGAGGATGGCACCTTATATTGTTGTATCAGTCAAATTGTTTTAATATTAAATGTTAATAAAATCTGATCCAAATAAATATCGTTATAGATCAGACTTTATTTAAAGAATATATGTTCAATGAAAGAAGGAAATAATTCATGAAAATAATAAGAAACGTGAGAAATGGTGGAATATTAACAATATTCCGGCAAGAAAACAAAGAAAAAATATCAAAAATAATAGGCCAAATCTAATACTCTACTTACGCCAGTTTGATTGTATTGTACAGTCGCAACTTGTCAAAAAAAAAAAAAACATTAAAATTGTAAAGGAACTTTACTCACGGAAAGTAGTAGCGAGGATAGGATACCACCAACCAACGGTATTCATAGTTCTGAAAAAAAAAAGGCACCATGGAGCAAATGGAAGAAAGTGGGAGGAGAGGAAAACAAACGAACAATTTGACCTCTTAATGGTGTGATTATTTTTAAAATATCGTTTTCTAACTGGCAAAGAAATATCCAGAGATCCTGCAAAAGCCATCTACTAAATAAAATAAAATTTAATTTTTATGGGGTGATGCAATTTCTATGACCGCGATTGTAGTGTACTGGTTGTACTTTGACCGCATTCCATGAAATATATATTTTTTTCCTCCTTCGAGGTAAAATAGAAATTAATAGACGTTTCGATTAATCGAGAACTATAATTATAATTTAAAACGTTCGCGTAACAGGCTATTGTTTTTTTGTGTTTTTAATTTCATTAAAGACAGATGACCGGCCGATCGAAGGTACATTAATAGTTGCTTATTGGCACTAAACCTTCACCGGTTATAATGGATGTTGGTAATAACCTTTTATGGGAAAAGAAGTCTATTATAGAATCGTTTTCTTGACATGCCAGGAAATTTAACATTTTCAAAGGGTTTTCAGTTAGATAGATCATCTATTTCAGATTTACTAATTGGTAGTAATAATTAAATAGATTCATGACTTAGATATTGCCTTGATATTGTTTTAAGTTTAGAGCTTGATATCATTTCAAGTCATAATAGGTTAAACATTAAATTAAAGGATTTAAAATGAGCATGAAATTCTTTGAAATGAAAAAATGTATGGTATCTATATTTTTTCCACCTGGCGCTATGACCATGCAGATCTTTGGCTACGCGATGTTCTCTTCTTACAAACATAAATTACTTGCGTGGGAACTGATATTCTGAAAAGGGTAGTCAACCCCCTTGTGGATTCTGC